CCAGGCCCTTCCTTCCTCCCCCCCCCCCCCACCTGCTGTGGCCTGCAGGCCTCTGGCCTCCCAGCAGGTTGGACCATGCTCTGTGTCTGGAGCATCCTCCGCCCAGGACAGGGGCTTCTCGGAGGCACAGGCACAGGGCCCCCGAACGGCTCCCTGTTCTCCTTGTGCAGGTGCCCTCTCCTTGCTGAGGACGCTGGCAGGCAAGGCCAACACGCTGGTGCAGTTGGAGGTCGCTGCTCGGGACGGAGGGGGCCTGGTGGCCCAGCCCAACGCGCAGGTCAACATCAGTGTGGTGGCAGGCACAGTGTCCCCACCGCGCTTTGAGCGCACCCAGTACTACTTCGCCATCACAGAGGACACCCGGCCAGGCAGCAGTGTTGGGGCTGTGTATGCCCACAATCCACCAGGTACGATGTTGGGCCCCTCTTTCTCCTTGCTCAATGTCCCACACACCGGGCATCTTCCTCCCCAGGAGACCCAATGCTAGCGGCTTCTTGTGGCCACCTACGAGGGTGGGCAAAGTAGATGGGGCTTTCGATCCTCTGGCCCCAAACCTTTTGACCTCAACCCTCTGCGAGGGGGCTCTTTCTCCTTTGATGCCATCATCTCAAGTTGGTGGCTGTCGGGGAGGACTGGGCAGACGCTTCTCAGCGATGGGTGGCCTCCCATTCTCCCTGTCCCTCTTTTTCCACCCAGGCCAGACGGACGCCGTGTTCTACTCAATTTCATCGGGGGACCCCCAGGGATACTTTGCCATCGACCCAAGCTCAGGGGAGCTGCACACCAGCCTAGCCTTGGACCACGAGACACAGCCGGCCCTCGTCCTGGAGGTCCAGGCCCGCAGTGGCTCCCCCCCTGCCTATAGCAGCGCCCGAGTGCAGATCACCATCTCTGACGTGAACGACAACGCTCCTGCTTTCCCCATGGCCTCCGACTCAGTGCTGCTGCCTGCAGGAGCCGCTCCAGGCACAGTGGTGTACACGGTGCAGGCAGAAGATCGAGACAGTGGCATCAACGGGCAGGTCCACTATGAACTGGTCACGGGTGGGCTGGCCGCCTTTGCCGTGGAGCGCTTGTCGGGAAAGGTGCGGCTGGTGGGGACCTTGCAGCCGGCCCACCGGACACCCTACAAACTGACCATCCTGGCACAAGATGGCGGGGCCCCCCGGCTCACGGCCACCTTCACCCTCCTGGTGCACGTGCAGGCAGAGGATGAGCACGGCCCCGTCTTTGACACGCTCACGTATCGCGTGGAAGTTCGCGAGGGGGTGCCAGTGGGCACTCACTTCTTGCAGGTGCGGGCGCTGGCCCGAGAGGCTAGCGCTCAGCTCACCTACCACTTGCGCGCCGAGGGGGACGCAGCCAGTTTCAGCATAGCCCCGGACACCGGGTGGCTGAACGTGCGCAGCACCCTCGACCGGGAGGTGCAGGAGCTCTACGTGCTGACCGTCCTAGCGGTGGCCGGCGAGGGCGAAGGGCGCCAGACGGGCAGCAGCACCGTCCGGGTCACCGTCACCGATGAGAACGACAACAGCCCCCGGCTCAGCGAAGAGCGCTACTTCTTCACGGTGGTGGAGAACAGGCCGGCAGGCAGCAGCGTCGGCCGAGTGGCCGCTAGCGACCGGGACGCCGGGCAGAACAGCCGCCTGACCTACCGCCTGGTGCCGCCGGAGAGCGGTTTCCTGATCCATACGCAGACTGGTGAGAGGGGCCGCAGGGAGGGGAGAGGCCCTTTCATCCTCTGCCGTTTGGGCTGGGAAAGAGGGGGATGCGTTGGGGTGGCTTGCCACGGGCGGGCGATGGGGAGGGGCCACGGACGGGGCACTGTCATTGTCTCTCTGACCTGACTGGGGTGGATGTCTTGCAGGAGAGCTGAGCATTCGGAAGAGCCTGGACAGGGAGCAGCACGCCAGCTACCAGTTGCACGTCCTCGTGCAGGACGGGGGGACCCCACCACGCAGCACGACTGGCACGGTGTTTGTCACTGTGCTGGATGAGAATGACAACGCCCCCACCTTCCTGCATGTGGCCGAGGGCCGCGAGCTGCTTTTGCAGGTATGGGAGGACGAGGCTGGGGGCCCAGAACTTTAGCAGAGCTGGTGAAGGCGTCCCTGGAGGATGTTCCCTGCTTCCCACTCTAAGCGGGTCTCTGAGGAGCAGGGGAAGGGTAGGCAGGGAGCCGGGGGGTCCGCAGCCCTCTCTCCTCACCCTCTGGGTCTGGCCATGTGGCTCTGTCCCTCCGTGCCTCTGAGTGCCCAGAGTTGGACCTTGCGTCTCATGAGAGAGAGAGAGAGAAAGAGAGAGATGCTCTGGTCGGCTTGGGGAAGCCGATCTGTGGGGGGGGTGGTGGAGGGGGAGATGCACCCGTTTCCTTTCGATCTTCTGGCTGTCGCTGTGCGTCAGGTTCTTGAGGAGAAGCCGCCCGGGCTGCTCGTGGCTTCCTTGCAGGCCAAGGACCCTGATGAGGGCGAGAACGGGACGGTCTTTTACTCCCTGTCAGGTAAGAGAATCCCTGGGGGCTGTGGGTCACCCCAGCGAGGCCCCAGGTGCCAGGGGGGTTCCTTGTGGGCACGGCCAAGGCAAGGTCAGGGGGTCGCTTCTTCCCCTCTTCAACTCTGGCACAGCCCTAATCATCTCCAGAGAAGCCGCCGCCGCCACCGCCACCATGTGGGTCTGTGGCAAGAGAAAGGACAGCCAAGGTCCTTTTTGTGTACCTTAGAAACGTACAAATAGACCAATGAAAAAAACGGTCCATGGTCCAGAGGCTGCAACTACGTTGGATGTAATGAAGTGGCTCTACTTCTGCAGCTCCAGGGCCATTGCTAAGAGACTCAGGATTCTCTGGAGGCCACAAAAGCATGCAGATGATCTTTG